TTTGTGTTAAAGTCGGAGATACCAGGTTGCTTGACTATGTGCCAAAAGACCACATTGGACAAATATTGCAGCAAATGTTGGTAATGTCGATGAATTTTTGATCTACGTGTCGGCTGCAGAAACGGGACTACTATTTGTCGTGGTCGTGTACTATCCTGCCGATGTTTTAACTGCATCTATGAATGCTCTCCAATCTGCTGAGTCAATAGTTGCATGGGCTCATGAGGAAGATCCAACGCCCCCTTCCTTCGCCACTCCCGATTATATCAAAAGAATCAAAGAAAAACTTCCCTTTTGGTTGCTTGTGAATAACCACGTGAAAGAGAATGATGCATTCGTTCCTCTTAAACTGTTTAAGCATGCAGCGCAAAGTTTTTTTCTAAGACGAAAGGCGGTGTTGATGGCAGTGCACAGTACCGTGCCATTCTGCGATCGTCAACTTCAAGACTCAAGTGGGAGCAGAAGATTGTCTCTCAAAATCTGAAGACTGTCTGCATAAACGCATTTTTTTGGATGGAGGATCATGAAAAGAAGGATCTTCTACAAATTCGTGATGAATTCGGGAATTTGGATAGTTTTCGATCCGCAGTGAATGGGGTGCAATCCTTGGCTGACTTTATACATGATGTTTCACGAGAACTATTGGCGCATGCTGAAAACCTAGAGAAAAAAGATATAGAAACTGCACAAGGAGGAGAGATCGAGTCTGTCATAACGGACACAGAGGCTGCAAAACTGCGAGCGCAAGCCAAGTATCGCAAGAACCGGCGCCTTCTATTTTTAATGACGAAAACAACTCCCGTCTTAGACCTGTGGTTATAGGACATGAAAAGCGACAACAGAAATCAGAACGCTACTGCGATCTTTGCGGTAAAAATCGGAATGCGGAATGGCGGGGACATAGGTCCTCGTTGAAGTGCTCCGACTGTGACGTGCATCTCTGCATTAGGCATACTCGGGATTTAGAAAGAACTGTTGGGATGTTTGGCATTCAGCCGAAAGCTTGAAACCGAGGCAAATGGCTCGCCCAGAACGAAGTTCTTCCAGATCAAATAGTGCTAGCCCCAGTCCCAATGTGCAGTCGTCTGCCGGACATTTGACTGTTACACCTTTCAAAGGGCGCAGAAGTAGAAGGTCGAGAGACCCTGCTAGAAAGGTCTGAAGATGCGGTAGGGAGCCACAGATGTCGGGAATCCGTTACACCGACTCTTCGGGCAAGACAAAGACGCCGACTTAGGTAGGGTTGGTGATGTCATGGCAGAGAGTAAACGTCTACCTTGAGGCCCCAGTGATCGGTGTACCGATCATCCGGGCTTTTTCGCAAATTTCAGAGGTGTCCGAATGAACTTTCTTCTACATTCGACTGCCCAGCAATGAAAAGTGCTATAAACAGGATTCCAATTGGAAGATAAAGCCTGTGGTCCCTTGTTTTACGCTGCAAAAGAAGAAAACGTGGCGCACTGTGACAGCGGAGCTACAGTATTGGACATTGAATTTTGTGATCGGTGTACCGATCACGCAAATCGCTTTTTAGGGATATTAGATCAGGCCTGTGTAGTAGTTCACCTAAGAGCATCTCTACCGCGATTCTATTCTCTAATCTAATGCCAAATTTTCAGCCGCAGAAAAAAACGACACTCTACCGCATGTTTGTAATCTATTCGAATAGATTTCTCAATAGATTAGAGCTCGATCTGGGTCTATTCGACCCCCCATTAGACCCAGATCGTGCTCTAATCTATTGAATAGAGGTGACACGAAAGGCCTCCGGGTTGGCCACCGGCGTAGCTGTACTTGCCAGATGAGTATTCCCGGGAAATTGAACTTCAATGCAAACCCAAACACCCCCAAATGGCATCGTCGCACAACGTTCCCCTCTCTCCGGTGCCTCTGCTCTGCTCTGTCTGCTCTGTCCGGTATGGGGCGCGGAAAGAACTGGGATGCAGAGGAGAATTGCGTTCTCGCTCGTGCATGGATTGCGGCGTCCGAAGACCCGATCGCTGGCACCGACCAGGCAAGAAAAATCTTCTAAGACACTATCCGCCGCCGCTTCACGGAGAAAGGTCCCGCACTGCACCTCGTTCCGGACGGAAAATACGGTAACCGAAGCGGGGCGAGCATCAAGCAGCATTTCAGCGATATGTCAGCTGACGTCCAGAAGTTCTTCGTCTCCCTCGGCAAGGTGCGCGCTTGCAATCCCACACGGTTGAGAGTTCCTCTTTTCCCGCTCCTTGATCCTAGTCTAATGAGAGAAGGAATTGTACCTGGAAAACCAGGCAGTGTCCCAGAGGCGACGAGGTAGGACAGGTTCTCGTCGTCACTGGAGTCAGGAGAAAAAGTCGGCGGAGGGGAGTCGTAGTTGCGAGAAGTTGCCATGGTAATAAAAAGGGTTGAACGGGATGAGCGCAGCGGTGCTGAAAGGATATGTACTGCGCGGTAGAGTTGCGCCGCGGCTCTATTCCAGAAAATCTATTCGTCAATAGAGCAATAGAGTTACCCAATAAAAATTAAGCACTTGGCGAGATATTTTTGATTAGAGAGGCAAATACGGTCATGCGGTAGAGATGCTCTAAAGATTAACCGATAAATATTTTACAAGTGGCAGTCATTGATTGTATGATTTCAATAGCCCTTTTTAATTAAGGAAAAATCGGGACTAGAACGGCGTGTGCGGTGGATGTGACGGTGATGTCCCAGCTCGGGACTCCTTTACCTCAGGCTACGACGACGGCGTCCTGTTATTATCTAGGTGTTTGTTCCACGTGTACTGCGTGTGTGCGGTCTGGCTAGAGCTCGGACTGTCGTCAGCGTGGGAATTGTGCGGTCTGGCAGTCCCCGGCACGCTGATGGCAGTTCGAGTTGGAGGAGGTATGATGTTGAGGGCGGTGCGGAGCGCGCGGAAGCGTTGTGGTTTCAGGGGTTTTGCGAGGATATCGGCGTGCATTGAGATGCTGTGAACATGCTTGACGTTGATGCGTTGTTGCTTGACAAGGTTTTGTAGAAAGTGGTGTCTTAGGTCGATGTATTTGCGGTGTTTTGTTGGAGCGGACTGTCGAGCGACCTGTATAGCGGCGTTGTTGTCCACTAGTAGCGGTGTGCGTATGCGTGGTGGGTGTCCGATATCGTTCAATATGCGCTGTAGCCACAAGGTTTGCTGAGCTGCCGAAGACGCGGAGAGGTATTCACCCTCGCAGGTAGACAATGCTACTGTCTTTTGTTTTGTCGATTGCCACATGACAGGGCTGTGCGTGAGTACGTGTACAATGCCCGTGTACGATTTGCGGTCAGAAGAGTTAGCAAAACCTGCATCTGCATATGAAATAAGCTGTGCGAAGGGCTTTGAGTTGTAGAGTATTCCGTGCGATTGGGATCCTTTGAGGTACTTGAGCAGGTACCGCAGTTGTCCCCAGTCGTTGGCTGTTGGTGTGTGCATTGCGGCTGCGAGTCGACTGACAGGGTGTGCAATGTCGGGCCTGGTTGAGTCAGCAAGATACCGTAGCTCGCAGACTGTCTGCCGATATTTAAAAGTTTTTTCTGGGTCGATTGGTTCGGAGTGCTTGGTTATTGCGCTGAGTTTCGTGTCTATATATGGCGTTGGCTTCGGATTGCATTCTTGCAGCGAATGTTTCTCAAGTATGGAGCGGATGGTGTGGGGCTGTGAGATGTGAATGGAGCCGGCTGCTAGGCGTTTGATTCTCCAATTGAGAAATAGTTTGGGTTCACCAAGGCGCCGTATGCTGTACCGAGTTCTCAGTTTGTCGTAAAGTTGGTTGATGGTGCGGGTTGTTTTAGCGGCGACGAAAAAGTCGTCTATAGTGACGGTGATGAGTACTGGCCCGTCTTGCGTCTGGCGAAAGAACAGGCAAGGGTCGCTGTCGGTCTGTGTGTATCCGGAAGAGGTCAAGAAATTTGCTAGGGCTTCAAAGTATATGTATGATGCGGGAGGGGTGCCGTATAGGTTACCGATTAGTTTTCCCGCGGTGCATGGGTGCTTGAATGTTCCGTCGAAACGCGGTAATTGCCGAACATATACTGGTGCACTGTGTTTGTATCTTTCGTGGAGAAACGCTGAAGAAATGTCGAACTGTTCGATTTTCAGGTTCAAGGCTGCAGCGAGGCTCATGATGGTGCGGATGGTGGGGAGGTCGGCAGTGTATGTGGTAACTTGATCCGGGTTGAAGTGGGTGTACGGTTGCATGCGGTCTCCCCGTACGGTACATCGTGCTTTATATCGCGTAATGTCGCCGTCATCTGTGCGTTTGTAGCGATATGTCATTTTGAGCGGAATAATTTTCGTGTGCGGGGGCAGTTTGGAGTTTGGTGTCCATTGGATTGTTTGTGTTCTGTCCAGTGTGTCCAGTTCATCGTTGTGGGCCGAGGCCCAAAACTTGGCATCGGGGTACTGGCGTGCGTGAGCGAGTGATGATGGAGATGGTGTGGATTCTGTGATGGATGATGGGATGGGTCGGGGTAGTTGTTTCGAGGTTGCGAGGGCTTGTGGCTCGTGGTAGAGGGGGTCTAAGTGATGGAAATAGGGTTTGAAGTCGATGGATCGGAGGTGCGTGTACTGGTTGGTTCGTGCGTTGAGGGCGACCATGTGTGTTGGGGAGGTGTTGTACAGTGCGGGTGGACCTTGGAACCTGAGAAAATGAGGTTTTTTGCATCATCTGAATACGTCGGGTGTGGGACGTGTCGGCTTGTGAGGGGTTGCTTCTAACAACGTCGGGTGGTTGACGTGTGAGCTTGTGATTGGGTAGTGTGGGAAGGAGGTGTACGGTGGGATTCGAACTCGCGTGCGCAGCAGTAGAATGAGGCCCATAACCTGTGACGGTGATGTCCCAGCTCGGGACTCCTTTACCTCAGGCTACGACGACGGCGTCCTGTTATTATCTAGGTGTTTGTTCCACGTGTACTGCGTGTGTGCGGTCTGGCAGTGGAGATAGCCTAATACCAAGATTACCGAAGCGCTCTGACTTTGTTGAGGATAGACACCATCCACGCTAGCCTCGTCTGAACGTCAAAACTGCCAAACGGCTGAGCCATGCCGTTGACTGAACGATGTGAACGATGAACCACACATCGTTCATCGCGCCATGTGCAACCCCTTTCCGCTCGTCGTCCCGCTTGACTACAGAGCACATGAAACGTTCTTCTAGGTCTCTGAGGCCATCGTATTTGCCTTCGCGCTGTATCACAATGGATATCACTCCCCCAAAATCCATGAAAGCGACAGTACCCGAGAAAACGACGGAAAACGAGGCTTCTCCTAAACCATTTACGTGGATGGAGCAATGGTACCCTGTGGCTTGGGCGAAAGATGTAATAGACCTCAAACCGCTTTCTATCACACTTTGGGACCGCCACTGCGTTCTCTTTCGAGATCGTTCGACGGGTATTTATGTTGTTATGGACGACATATGCCCCCATCGTGCGGCTCCGTTATCGGAAGGCCGTCTCTACGAGCGAGAAACGGATGGTGAAAAGGAAACGGTTCTTGAGTGCGGATATCATGGCTGGCGGTTTAACTGCGATGGCAGATGTGTAGATATTCCTGTGGTGCCGCTAGAAAAGCGAATTCCGGCTGCTGCAGATGTGGGAGTTGTTTACGCAACGCATCTTTCAATCAATGGCTTGATTTTTATGTGGTTTGGAGACCGTTTAAAGGCAGACGAGAGCAAGATTCCTCTGCCAAAAGAACTAGTGCAGGCGGATGAATCCGAGCGTCTCTTTTATCGCGACAGCTTTCGCTATTTTCCGATTTCTTTTTCCACACTCCATGAAAACGTGGCAGACCCCACTCATGTGTCATGGGCACATCACGGCACAGGACGAGATAATCGTAAAACCGTAAAGCGCAGCGGTGGAGTAGACATTGTCCATGAAAACCTCACTGAAGGTTACGTACACGCGAGGAAGTATAATCAGGATTCCAGCAAGGGCTGGAGCGATATATTTTTTCAGACCCCAACGGCAGTGCATTATGCAATTAAACTCGGTGACACAAAATCAAAAATCTTTCTGCTGAGTTGGACAGTGCCGATCAGTTGGGACAAATCGAAGGTGTTTACTCTTTTCTCGTATTTGAATCCGCCGAAAATTGTCCGTCTAGTGAAGTGGTTCAGTCCAAGATGGTACGAGCATACAATCACGAACCTCGTCTTGGATGGTGATCCGGGGATGTTGCAGAAGCAATATGCCCATCTTCAGGCCGTCGAGCGTGACGGATATGGCAGTGCATGGAAGAAGGAATATACGCTTGCGTCGGGGAAATGGGACACTTCGGTCATGAAGGTCCGTCAGTTCTTTGACATGCATGGATGGAGCATGCCTTACGCGACGCCAATTCCTTCGGATGCTCGCAGCGAAAGAATTTTGACAAGGGTTGTCAATGACCGATATGAAAACCACACAAGAGAGTGTCAGGCCTGCACGGCTGCACTACACAATTTTACTAGGGGACGGACTGCTGCTTTGGTAGGAGCAGGGGTTTCGGGTGCAGCCGCATTGTTCTCAGGAATTGTCTTCGCAGCTCTAAGCATAGGGGGGGCTGCCTTTGCACCATTACCACTGAGGCTGGCAGGATTTGGAGGAACTGTGTTATGCATTCTTCTCCTCCGTCTAGCAAAGATGCTACATTACTTCATGACGTTGATGACCTATACAGATATTGCATATGATCTGAATCATGCCGACTGAGAGCGACGCAAGCTGTTGTATCATTGCCTTCTTGATTCGCAAAACTTTGGCCAGCTTGGACAAGTTCGTCGAGAAAGTTATTGTTGAAGACGCAGACAAGTTCCAGTGTAGAGCCTCGTTCTGTGGCATTCGACTTTATGTTTTGTAGGACTAGTGCAACATGAAAGCTCTGTGCTGCGTGCTATCAGAGCCAGTTTTAGAATGCCCAAAGTGCTTGGGCAATGCGGCATTGCTAACTAATAACCAGGAAGCGTTGTGTTTCGTTCAATACCGATTGTACTGGTACTGTTTCGCGCATTACCTTCATCTCGGCTCTTTCCATGTCATTCTCAGCAAGATATCCTCAGAGCTTGTGCAAGAGGAGGATTGGGTTCATCTACCTGTGCCTTTTCGTTTCGTATATTTCCGCTGTATAGGTGACTAAGTTGGAAGAGCTCGGTCCCGTCGGCATTGGGAGAAGACCGGCCATTGTCATAGGTTGTCAGTAGCACCCCAGTGATTTTATGATCTACACGTTAAACCTAAACAACATTACATCACCATCCTTCACAACATATTCCTTCCCTTCGGATCGGAGAAGCCCTTTCTCCTTGGCAACCTTTTCACTGCCCAGTTCACGCAAAACATCGTAACTAATAGTCTCCGCTCTGATAAATCCCCTTTCAAAATCGTTGTGAATCACACCTGCCGCTTGCGGCGCTTTCATCCCTGCGCGGATGGTCCACGCTCTCGTCTCCGTAGGTCCGCTGGTAAAATAGGTCTGCAGTCCCAGCAGCTCATACGTAGCGCTCACTAACGCCCGCAAGCCAGTGCCCTCTTCTGTCACGCCCAGTGATTCAAGAAACTCGATCCGCTCCCCGGCGTCGAGTGACACGAGCTCCGACTCGACTTGGGCGGAAACGATAACGACCTTTGCTCGACTATCCTCGGCATGTTTCTGCACCTGCTCAACAAAGGAATTCCCGTCGGCTAAATCGGAATCCGCAACATTGGCAGCATAGATGACCGGTTTCAACGTTAGCAAGCCGAGATGCTTTACCGCGGCCACTTCATCTTCCGACAAGTCGACCGAGCGGGCGCTGCGGCCGTCGTTGAGGGCGGGTAGCAGCTTCTCCAGGGCGGTGATTTCGTTGGGATCGACGTCGCTCTTTCCGCTTCGCTTCACCTTGGCGCGAGTTACTCGCTTCTCGACCTGGGCCATATCTGCGAGCGTGAGCTCTAGGTTAATCACCTCAATATCGCGTAATGGGTCAACAGAACCCGACACATGAATGACATCGTCATCCTCAAAGCAGCGCACGACGTGAACGATGGCGTCGCACTCGCGGATGTTGGCAAGAAACTTGTTCCCAAGGCCTTCGCCGTCGGCGGCGCCGGCGACTAGACCAGCGACGTCCACAACTTCGATGGTTGTTGGTACTGTCTTTACGCTTTCGTTAATATCCGAAAGAACGTTCAAACGGGTATCCGGCACGACGGCGATCCCGACATTGGGCTCAATTGTGCAGAAGGGAAAGTTCGCCGCTTGGGCCGTAGCGTTTTCCACGAGCGCGTTGAACAGGGTGCTCTTGCCGACGTTTGGCAGACCGACAATGGCACTGTTGAGCTTCATGCTCGGAGCCGTTCGGTGGAAGGATCGACGTGGCTGTGAATGGGAGAGGGATGCGCATGATAGAGACAGTGAATGCACGCAGGCGGCGGTGAAGCTGGAGCGGCGCAGCGCATGGGGCGAGACGGTGGTCGTGGCGCGCGAAACGAAGCACAAGCCCCGGCGCTGCGCGACGGGGCGGAAGGCTGTGGCTGCAGTTGTTGTCGCGGCGAAGCACAGCATGCGAGGCATGGTGGCAGCCTAAGGAGGAGGAAGGGAGAGGACGATGATGAGGAGGAGCACAGGCGCACGATTGAGAGCTGAGGATTGGATGAAAAGCTTAATTGCGAGCCCCAATTTGCGATCTCCGACCACTGTCGCTGAGCGAAGTCTTTGCATCTCATATTGCGAGCTGGAGATATACCTTTCTCCTCCAACTTCATCAAATACAACCTGCCTCTCGCTTCTTATCCATTCCACGGCGGGGTGGGCATCTTCCCCCTCCTCCAACAAAATCCGATTTCCGCTATGGCATTTGTCTCATCCCCGTCGCTCCGCTTCAAAGCTCCTGGCCATCAACTAACCTCTCGCCGAACAATCAAACGCCGTCTTCCTGCTCACCGCACCATTAGCATCTCGGCCGCTGAAATCACCCCCTCCGTCGTGCGCGAGTACGAGCGTTATATCCGTGACGTCGCGAAAACGCGTGCGCCCGCCCATCTCGACGGTTTATTGCATGTCCTCACGAAGGTTGAAGGCGAGGAACCCGTGCAGCCCGCCGATCGCACTGGCCTGCACCCCTTTTTCATCCCCCTCACCGCGGCCACCAAGCCCACGGGTGACCGCACTCTCACTGGATTGCTGCGGTGGCCGACCCCACCGGAGGACATGGAGTTGCCCGTCGTTCGAGCCCGCTCCGACGACTTGGGGCTCACGCTGCTCGCATCCTCGTCCGTCTGCGCCGTCACCAGAGCTCTGGCGGCGGCCGACTTTTCAGGTAGGACGGCGGAGGCGGCCGCAATTCGAGATGCATCGTCGCTCGCGTTGGCCTACCAGAATGGCGAGGCCGACGAGTCAGGGTTGGGGTTGGAGAGGTATCTTATTATGAAGACGGGGCCGTTTCCGGACATTTACGAGGGACTTGTCAATTTTCACAAGGCGAAGGGCGATGAGCAGTCTGCATTGATTACGTGTGAGCGGGCCGCGACGATATTTCCGGGGTGGGGGAGCGGACACGCGTTTCACGCGAACTTTTTGAAGGACATGGGAAGGGAGAGCGAGGCCAGGGATGCTGCTCGTTTCGCGCTGCAGATTCCGTTGTGGACGCTTGGGGGGAGCGGCATTGTAGAAGATATGCGCAAGCTGGCGGGGTATGTGGAGGAGCAGTCCTTGGCCAAGATATTTAAGAGGCTGTATGAGGATAAGAGGGAAAAGGAGGTGGAGGAGGGGAAGCTGCCGGAGCAAGTTGCCTTGGATCGTGCGGCCTATTTATTGGACCTATGCGTGGCAGAGCGCTGGGAGGACTGGGAGAATGCCAAGATGGGGCTAGCTGAGCTATATGATGAAGCTGGTATGAACGATTTTGCCACATTTGTTAAGTATTAGACTTGCCCAACGAGTTGCGTTCTCAACAATAACGGCGCCTCGACGGAAGAACGCCTCACTCGTAAGTGGCAAAGCGTGTTATTCGCAGCGCGCAACAGATCTTACATCACAATGTTAGTTAGTGAGACCAGGTGGTCCATCGACGATATGCACAGCTGCATAGTTGGAACGCGTAATGTGCACTTGCCCGTATGGACAGGATTGTTCTTTTCGACAGTGTTTCGAAGGAGAGTCATGGCCACTCGCGGATGAAGTCAACCCAGGGTTTCAATTGGATAATTGGATAATTGAACAACAGTGCGGAGCTCCAAAGGCCATCTATTGCAACGGAACCTGTGGATGTATGCGAACAGACCAAATCCAAAGTAAAATGGTTCTCGTGCCTTACGGAATAGCATGAGGAACACTTGATAGGTGTTGCATCATACGGGTTGTTTTGGACAGTTACAGACTGCAACGGAACTAACAGCTTGCAAGATGCTGGACAGAGACATTAACACGCATCCCAGAAAAAAAGGGGCTCTTGCAGTCAAGGGACAAACTGTTCAGACGCCAGGATGCTGCGTGATGAGCAAGAATTTGGCTCCGCTAGTTGCAAGTGTTGTGAAGCTAAAATACATGAAGGGCGAATTTGAGGCTGCTTCAGACCTTGACACAGAAGCTTCTTCCTCGATGCAAAACCAAAACAATTTATCGACCCTATCCGAGACTGTGCCGACGCGTCTGCCGTAAAGCAGGAATGCATCACTGAGCAGGAGGGAGGATGAATATCAGCATATTCTTTTTAACGCGGGGTCAGTTAACTGCCGATGCATTGCATAACTTGTTCAGTTCTACCTCTAGTCCCACGCCTTCCATTCCTAGCCTGTCACATTCTTGACATGCATCGCATGTCTGCCATGCGCACAAACGTCAAGTTTCCTGCAACCCTAATAGCTGCAAAAATCCGTCTGTATCTGAAAGATCCTTTAACACGGCGACGGGATCTTCCGCCTCCAACTGGTCCCGTGAGAACGAACCCGTGAGAACTCCAATACCCCCGGCGCCATTCTCCCGCGCTGCCTGCATATCTGCGACAGCATCTCCCACATGAAAAACGTTTTCGAGCCTCCTTCCGCTGCCGTTCTTGGCGACAAACGTTGGATTCTTCTCTTGCACGCGTTCCACCGCTGTCTTCAAAATATCTGTCCGCAGTAGACAATCACTCCCGAACCCTCCCGTCTCAAAAAACCCCTTCAACCCGGCGGCCTCAACTTTCTCCCATGCGCAGCTCTCCAAATTTCCCGTAGTCAACGCGAGTGATACGCCAAGCTCCTGCAGTCGCAGCAGCGCCTCGCGCACGCCCGGTAGCACCAAGTGAGACAAGTCCTCGTCGACATAGCCGACGATTCTCTTGTCTGCTTCGGCGATTGCCTCGTGCATACGCGCGGCGATGTCGGCAGCTGGCACCCCGCCCACCAGGCACATGTCGCGGATGATGGCGCGGTCTGTGCTGCCGGCGTGTGGCACTTCGTTGACTGTGACGGAGATACCGTACACGGCGCGCACGGCATCATCGATGGCGCGCTTGTGCGCCGAGTTGCCCGACGGGCCGCGCGCGCCGAGAAGCGTGCCGTCGATGTCCCAGGTGACTAGCATCGAGGTGGCGGGCGGCGCCATCGTGCACACGGTGCGGGTAGGGCGGCGCGTGGTGCTGCGTGAAATAAAGGAGCACAGCGGGTTCGCGAAGGCGAGGGAGCGTGTGGCCATAGATGATGGGGGCTTGATGGAATGCAGGGGAATTCTCTACGTGCAGCAGGGGTGCGCAGAGTGGATGAATGCATTATCGCGTGATCGCCTGAGCAGCGCGAACATGATGAGGACGAATGGCTGTGGTTGAGCGAGATGCAGATTTTGGTTGCGCATCTACTGGTAACGGCAGTGATGACAGACGCCACGCTCGCTAATGGCAAATAGTTTTGATCTGCATGAGAAGGCAACATGATCGAGAAAACGCAAGTGCGCTCACATGATTTGTAAGCATTGAGAGCAAAAAACTGATAGTAACCAAAGTAGAATACTTTCTTTTGTTCGCGTTCGTTAGCACCGTATACGATACTACTTGCATATCGTGATGGGCTTTGTCCGGCCGTGTCCACCAGTGCTGAGGCGAGAGAGCGCCTAGGCTTGGCTTCTCTCGAGTTCAAAAACTAGCAACCACTGAAGCAGACTCTATGGTGAGTCCAAACACAGCAAGTGCTGCACCTCCTCCCTCCGCTCTTCACATGCTGTATCCTCTCGAAGCTTTCACATCCAACCGACTCTCTGCTTTGCTTGTCATTACCAAACTATGTTTACATTTTGGCAATCTGAGTTACTGCGACGATGCCTTGCCCTCGGATGATTTGGCTTTCTGACGTCTTGCGTGTAGCTTTCCTCTCAAGTGAGATTGGAAATTCTGCTTTCCGCAACATGAGATACCGCACACGTCACATGAAAAGGTTCCATCTCTACTAACTTTGGCCGGCTCCACACCAGTCTTGGCCTTAGGATTCGTACCCTCGTCCTGCGATGCTAGCCTCCGCCAGTGTTTCGCGCTTGCCATGTGAACATGCAACGATTCTTCCGAGTTGCAAATGACTTTGCATGGCGCGCATGGATACTCCCTAAGAACATTCCGGGAGGCGGTCCTCTTTGCTTGTGCTTTGTTGGGAATGATGAAACTAGGCCCTCGAAAATTTGGGTTCGGCATGGCGGCAAGCGACGGTTGTGGCATGGAGGGTCCAGGGTGCCCCGGAAGAGAATGATTCAGAGGGGTCTGCCGCACCACAGCAACGGGGCTGAGAGTCGCTTGCTTTGACTGTTGTACAGGCGTCGCTAAAGCGGTGGACTTTTCGTGTGTCGGTAATGGTACCGACCTGATGACACCTGGGGAGAACGTTTGGGGCGGCTTTTTCTTCCTCGGTGGGGATGGGAAGCTGCCCAAAAGGTGATTCTCACTAAGCCGGTCAACGCGTGTTTTGGTCCCAACACCAGGTCTAGATCGTTTCATGGGAGGGAGATATTCAAGGTGGCGTGGGCTCGCTCTAGCTCTTTTGATGGATGGGGAATCAGCGGTGTCACTAAGCTTCGCGGTAGCAATAGTGGCATCCGCGCTTGCTGATGGAGCTCCTTCTATGAGTCCGGCGTCGGTTTTTGTGATCTCTGGAGCGGGTGCGGGCGCAGGCGCGGGTATGGTGGCAGGTGCTGTGGATGAGGGCGTAATGGCGATGTTGGTACTCGTCGAAGCATGGTTTGGGACTGGACTAGCAATGGCAGTGACCTGCGAGGCGGTGATCTGTGACTGGTTTGGGGGGGATGAAAAATGTGGCGTTGGATGATGTGGAGGGACGCTTGCCCTCGGGGATGCGATGGCCTTTGCAGCGGCAGTTGAAGCACGGGTTGTCCTTGTGGCGGCGAATGGGGGGAGAGGGGGGCCGTATTGGGGCACAATAGGAAGGATGGTGCTTGCAGTGGGAGGCGGGGGAGCGATTGTGGCTTGTAGAGGTGGTTGGGCGATGTCGGTCGAAAGTGGATGAGGCATAGCTGCGGTGGGGGCGTTGTGAGGGACGTACGTGGATGGGTGGTTCGCCTGAGGTTTGACTTTGCCACTTTCGGAAGGCCCCCCAACTGTAACGTGTCTCTTATGCTTTGCCATGTCGAGATGTTGCAGCACTTGGGCCTTACCCGACATGTTGACATTGCAATGCGTGCAAGTCCAGGCGGTCACCCCAATCTGTATGATGCGATGTCTGTCAAACGCCAAACGAGCCTTTTCGAAAGCATTGTGCACTTCAATTTTCCGGCGGTGCTTCTGACCGAGCAGATGGCTCTCAATCTGCGGCGGTGAATCGTACTTAACATCGCAGATTTTGCAGTCCAGCAGGGTCTTAGGTGTGGGTGCGGTCATGGGGGCACCGGGCGCGGGAGCGAAAGGGAGCGAGATGAAGGGCGAGTGGAGGGGGGGAAACGGCGGCCGTTGGGTGGGGAAGGGTGGCATGGGCGGGAATGGAAACCATTGGTGGGTTGGGTCCCCCGGGGCGAAGCTCTGTGTGCGTAGCGGGGGGAACGAGGGGAGGGTCGGGGTGTTAGCGGACATGGGTGGATGCAGCGGCGCGAGGATGGGGGCTAGGCCGCTCGCGTTGGGGTGGCAGGTGTTGACGTGGGCTCGCAGGTCGTGCGAGGAGGCGAAGTGCGAGGTGCATAATGGGCAAGGGGAGCGCTGCGGGAGATTGGAGTTGACGGCCGGGTTTGAGCGGGGCAGCGGCTGTGGTTGCGGAGGCGGCCGAAGAGGCGGCTGCGAGAGATTGGGGTTGACCGCGGGGCTTGGGCGGGGGATTGGGTGTGGATGCGGAGGCGGCTGCAGGGGATTAGGGTTGATGACGGGATTTGAGTTGGGGAGTGGCTGTGGTTGCGGAGGCGGCTGCGGGAGATTGCGGTTGACCGAGGGGTTTGAGTTGGGGAGTGGCTGTGGTTGCGGAGGCGGCTGCGGAGGCGGCTGCGGAGGCGGCTGCGAGTGCTGCGACGCCATGGGAGGGATATTTTTGGGGCGGGAAGGGACGGGAAGAGGGTGGGGGGGGGGAGGGGGAAAGGAGTGGGACGGAAGGGGGGGGGATAAGGAAGGAAGCTGAGAGGAATCGGAACGGAAGGAAGGAGAGGTCGAGGCGGGGCGCAGGGGGGGAATTCATGTGTCGATATGGAATGCGGTGCTATCAATTTTTTAGAAATGTGTCCGCATGGCGCTGGCAGTTGTCGTGAACATCAAACTCACCCCGATCGGGCGTCGTCCCGCCCTCTCCCCCTCCCCTTCCCGGCGCAACCGCTTCCACCCCCGCGCAACCGCTCCTCTCCATGCCGGCGCAACTCGCCGCCTCCCCCCCGCCTCTCCTCATGACTCCGCCCACGCCCATGGAGGCGCACAACTACCTGTTCGAGCCGCCGCCCCCCTCGCGTTCCGCGTGGGCCTGCCCCAACCCGCGTACGCACGCGCCGCCGCCCCGCCCGGACGCGCAGTACCACCCGTCCTCCCCCTCGCATTACCTCTCCGACGCCGCTCTCCGCATGCGTGCCCTCGCCGTGCAGACCCCCGACGCTTTCGGTTTGCCGTTCTTGTGCCCCCAGGACGTCCCGGACCGCACGTCGCAGCCGTCCAACGCAGCAGTCGCGTTCCAACGGCCTGAGCGTCCGTGGAGGCGTCGCGAGTCCATGCCGCGCGTTGCGACCGCGCCGCACCCCGATCCGTTCACCACCTTCCTGACGGACACCTGGCTACCACCGGCGGGAAGCCCGGCAGTGGGCACCGCTACCGACTTGCCGGTGCTGTCGGTCTCAGCCGTAGAGACATCCGTGTCGCCTGCTAGAGACCCTGCGCTGTTTTGCGACGTGTGCGTGGTCCTGTGTGATACCCACTTGCAGCTGGAGAAGCACCAGGAGGGACAGAAGCATCGCCGCAAGAGCGACATTCATCGCGTTTTTGTTGAGGCCAGGAATAAGTTTGCAGACGAAGGCCTCAAGCAGATTGCGACTGACGTGTGGACGTGCCTGCATTGCAAGGCACAGGTCCAAGGGAAAACCCCCGTGCTCCAGCACATCGAAGCAGTGAAGCATAAGAAGAATAGAAATGCCGCCACGGCGCTCGAAGCACATAGAGGAAAGCCACAGAAGCATGTCCGCACGCCTCCGCGCGCCCCCAAAGATTCCTTGTCGCCCAGGAGTGGGCCGGCCGCCGTCGCGATGATGCAACTGAATGGCGATGAGCTGCCGAGTATGGATAGAAGGTCCATCGGGAGAGCGTTGCAGTTGAGCGGTGCGGTCCATGGTGCTGTGGGTGATAAGCAGAGGCCCTCAGAACTGCCTTTTTCGCCGGCAGGGAAGAACCGCATCGTCGATAGCATGAATGCAGCTCCACAGTCAGTCCATACGCCGGCTGACACCCCGGCGCGAGCTGGCTCCTGGTCGGGCTGGCATCGTGCTGATGGACGCATTGTGTTTGAACTGCCGCCGACTTTTGACCCTCTGCGGTGTCCTGCGTCGAGTTGCGTGTCCCCGATACGATTTGCTTCCCCGAGCCAAAGTGCACTGTTCGGTGAGGACATACCAGGCAGACCGCTACCGACTGTTTCGCCACACCGACGCTCCAACTCTGCGAACAGACCTAACAATCACAGCAAGCAATCGACGCCTACGAACCAGGACATGAACAATCTTTCATGCGTCCCTTGCAATGTGAATTGTAACTCGGTCGACACGTTGAGTTGCCATGTTGCTAGTGCAAAGCACAAGCGCAGACAGGCGCTCTTCGAAGCTTCCCAGCCTACGAATGCGGGTACGGGGACGCCGAGCAAGAGCAAGGTGAATAGAGTATTTTTTAAGTGTGATGTATGCAATGTTTCGTGCTCCGGTTTGGAGAATTTCGAGTCGCACCTTCGAGGCAAGCTGCACTCCAAAAGGGTTCGTGCGACTGCATCGCATGCGAAAACCGCCGACAATGGGAATTAAGTAACGAATAGAAAGACATGGCAAGAGCAAGGATCCACCCTAACTCCCACGACGGGAGCCATGTACATTCGACTTTATATTGAGCGTAAGGAGCTGAAAGCAACAAGGACAAGTTTGATGCTGATGCGGCTGCCCTGTTGTTGTCTAGTGCGGGATGGCAATGTAGTGCAGCGAGTCTGCATTGGTCTGCCCGTTCGGGACTATAATAGTTTCCGACTGTACGTGACTAGTGGGATGGAAGTTAGACTGAAGCTTTGTTCTTGTCAAAGTCCGTACTGTACGTTTTAGAGCCCTTTAGATACATGTTAGTAAAGAATATAGGCGTATTTTGAGGCAGTGGAGATAAGTTGTTCGGGCATAGCTATTTTAAGGCGGTTTGCCGCTGCCATCCTAGGTAAGTGAAACAGGTGAGAGCATGGGGGCGGAAATTAAGAGAGTAAAGCCTTCCTGACTGAAGCAATATCAGTCGTTTCGAAGAGAGAAGCTTTTTGGTTGTCCACCACACAGACATGAACAAAAGAGTAAAAGTTGGAAGATGGTACAGCCTTTTAGTATTGGGAACTACGGCAATTGTTGTCAGCGACGTCGCCATGCAAGGGTTCGTAATGGGACGGGGCACCTCCCTATTCACACGTGAAGAATGTGGACCTCACCTGTGTATAGCATAATGTTCCAATGCCATTAGACTCTTACAAGGACGTGTTGTTAATCAGAAATAGAAGACAGAGGACCGCCAACTGTGGGCAGGATTACGGGAGCCTAATACTGAGGTCATAGCTATAAGTCAGTACCAGCCTTTTGTTTCATAACAAAAGGGCCAGCAGTTCCCACCACCGACGCCCGCGGAGGAGCCCCTCGAAGGCCGAAAACGCAGAGAGAGCGAGCCGGCCCCCGCCGT